CTTGGTTTCAGTGAGAAAATGAAAGAAAGAAGAGAAGATAGAAATTTCACTGAACTGGAAAAGGTTGTCAGTTTGAAATCTTTTCATTTGTACCCCCTTACTTCTAAAAATAACCGGCATTCATATTTATGATTGTTGTTGCAATATTTTGTTAAAGTTGGTAAGCTCATATATTTAATAATGCAATAGGGGAATTTCTATTTTATTGTCATATCATTCACCATGAGCTTAATCATTAACTTAAGAATTAGGATTCATCAGAAAATTCAAATAAAAAAAAAAAAACAGTGAAATTTTCACGGGTCTTTCCGGTTCAAAAATAATTTGACTTACAAGTTTTTCGTTACAAGGGAGGTGAAATTCTATTTGTGGCATCAACTTCTGGAATTAAGTTACAGGGGAAATGGATGTTATCCAAGAATCGTTACTACAATTTCTGTTGTTCCCTAAGGTGTATTAAGCAAGGAATGGGAAAGTGTAAACCCGATGGATCTGGGGGAACTGTAACATGATTTTTTTCACTGTCTTCTTAGGGGGATAGCAATGGGTACAGATTTAGAGTTCAGAGGAAGAGAACATAAAATTAGATTTTATAAAAATAAACAGGGAAGAAAGAACTGATTTGAACGAAACACAGAAACAGGATTTTAAACCGAAAGTGGGTGGAATTGATAGAAAAGGGAAAAAAGAATTTCAGAAAAAAGAGGAGGAGAAAAAATTATAGAAAAGTAAAAAGAATTTTCGAAAAAAAAAAGATGAGAAAAATTGATAGAAAAAGAAAAAAAATTTCCGAAAAAGAAAGATGAGAAAAATTGATAGAAAAAGAAAAAGAATTTCCGAAAAAAAAAGATGAGAAAAATTGATAGAAAAAGAAAAAGAATTTCCGAAAAAGAAAGATGAGAAAAATTGATAGAAAAAGAAAAAGAATTTCCGAAAAAGAAAGATGAAAGAAAAAGAATTGAAAAAAAAAGAAAAAAAATGAATTTCAAAAAAGAAAAAAAAAAAAAGGTTAAAAAGAATTTCAGAAAAGGAAAAAAAAAAAAGAAGAAAAGAAAAGTATTTCAAAAAAAGAAAGATAAAAAAATTGATAGAAAAGGAAAAAAGAATTTCAGAAAAAAAAAATATTGATAGAAAAGGAAAAAGAATTTCAAAAAAAAAGAAAAAATATTGAAAAAAGGAAAAAAGAATTTCAAAAAAGAAAAAAGAAAAATATTGATAGAAAAGGAAAAAGTAATTTCATAAAAAGAAAGATAAAAATATTGATAGAAAAGGAAAAAAGAATTTCATAAAAAAAGAAAAAAAAGAAAATATTGATAGAAAAGGAAAAAGAAAATTTCATAAAAAAGAAAAAAAGAAAAATATTGATAGAAAAGGAAAAAAGAAAAGAAAAAAAAAGAAAAATATTGATAGAAAAGGAAAAAGAATTTCATAAAAAAAAAAAAAAAATATTGATAGAAAAGGAAAAAAGAATTTCATAAAAAGAAAAAGAAAAATATTGATAGAAAAGGAAAAAAAGAATTTCATAAAAAAAAAAAAATAAAAATATTGATAGAAAAGAAAAAGGAAAAAGAAAGAAAGATTTCATAAAAAGAAAAAGAAAAAAAAAGAAAAGAAAAATATTGATAGAAAAGGAAAAAATTTCAGAATTTCAATAAAAAAGAAAAAAAAAAATATTGATAGAAAAGGAAAAAAAGAATTTCATAAAAAAAAAAGAAAAATATTGATAGAAAAGGAAAAAAGAATTTCATAAAAAAAAAAAGAAAAATATTGATAGAAAAGGAAAAAGAATTTCATAAAAAAAAAAGAAAAATATTGATAGAAAAGGAAAAAGAATTTCATAAAAAAAAAAGAAAAATATTGATAGAAAGGAAAAAAGAATTTCATATTGAAAAAAGAAAAAAGAATTTCATAAAAAAAAAAAGAAAAATATTGATAGAAAAGGAAAAAGAATTTCATAAAAAAAAAAAAGAAAAAATATTGATAGAAAAGGAAAAAAAAATTTCATAAAAAAGGAAAAAGAAAATATTGATAGAAAAGGAAAAAGAATTTCAAAAAAGAAAAAAGAAAATATTGATAGAAAAGGAAAAAAAGAATTTCAAAAAAAAAAAAAAAAATATTGATAGAAAAGGAAAAAGAATTTCATAAAAAAAGAAAAAGAAAATATTGATAGAAAAGGAAAAAAGAATTTCATAAAAAAGAAAAATAAAATATTGATAGAAAAGGAAAAAGAATTTCATAAAAAAAAAAAAGAAAAATATTGATAGAAAAGGAAAAAGAATTTCATAAAAAAAGAAAAGAAAAATATTGATAGAAAAGGAAAAAAGAATTTCATAAAAAAGAAAAAAGAAAAATATTGATAGAAAAGGAAAAAGAATTTCAAAAAAAAAGAAAAAAAAAATATTGATAGAAAAGGAAAAAAAAAGAAAAAAGAAAAAAAAGAAAAAGATAAAAAGAAAAAAAGAATTTCAAAAAAAGAAAAAGAAAAATATTGATAGAAAAAGGAAAAAGAATTTCATAAAAAAGAAAAAGAAAAATATTGATAGAAAAGGAAAAAAGAATTTCATAAAAAAGAAAAAAAAAAAATATTGATAGAAAAGGAAAAAAAGAATTTCATAAAAAAAAAAAAGAAAAAATATTGATAGAAAAAGAAAAAAGAATTTCATAAAAAAAAAAAAGAAAAAATTGATAGAAAAGGAAAAAGAATTTACAAAAAGAAAAAGAAAAAATATTGATAGAAAAGGGAAAAAGAATTTCATAAAAAAAAAAAAGAAAAAATATTGATAGAAAAGGAAAAAAGAATTTCATAAAAAAAGAAAAAGAAAAATATTGATAGAAAAGGAAAAAAAATTTCATAAAAAAGAAAAAAAAAATATTGATAGAAAAGGAAAAAGAATTTCATAAAAAAGAAAAAGAAAAATATTGATAGAAAAGGAAAAAAGAATTTCATAAAAAAAAAGAAAAGAAAAATATTGAAAGAAAAGGAAAAAAAAATTTTGAGGAAAAAAAAGAAAGAAAAAGAAAATATTGATAGAAAAGGAAAAAGAATTTCATAAAAAAAGAAAAGAAAAATATTGATAGAAAAGGAAAAAAGAATTTCATAAAAAAGAAAAGAAAAATATTGATAGAAAAGGAAAAAAGAATTTCATAAAAAAAAAAGAAAAATATTGATAGAAAAGGAAAAAGAATTTCTTAAAAAAGAAAAAGAAAAATATTGATAGAAAAGGAAAAAGAATTTCAAAAAAAAAAAGAAAATATTGATAGAAAAGGAAAAAAGAATTTCATAAAAAAGAAAAAAGAAAATATTGATAGAAAAGGAAAAAGAATTTCATTGATAAAAATATTGATAGAAAAGGAAAAAAGAATTTCATAAAAAAAAAAAGAAAAATATTGATAGAAAAGGAAAAAAGAATTTCATAAAAAAAAAAAGAAAAAATATTGATAGAAAAGGAAAAAAAGAATTTCATAAAAGAAAAAAGAAAAAAAAAGATTGATAGAAAAAGAAAAAAAAATTTTGATAAAAAAAAAAAAAAAAAAAATATTGATAGAAAGGAAAAAAGAATTTCATAAAAAAGAAAAAGAAAAATATTGATAGAAAAGGAAAAAAGAATTTCATAAAAAAAAAAAAAAAAATATTGATAGAAAAAAGGAAAAAGAATTTTATAAAAAAGAAAAAGAAAAATATTGATAGAAAAGGAAAAAAGAATTTCATAAAAAAGAAAAAAGAAAATATTGATAGAAAAGGAAAAAGAATTTCAAAAAAAGAAAAGAAAAAAATATTGATAGAAAAGGAAAAAAGAATTTCATAAAAAAGAAAAAAGAAAAATTCATAAAAAGAAAAAAAAAAAAAAAAAATATTGAAAAAGAATTTCAAAAAAGAAAAGATTAAAAAAAAAGAAAAAAAAAAAAATTGATAGAAAAAAAAAAAGAATTTCAAAAAAAAAAAGAAAATATTGATAGAAAAGGAAAAAAAGAATTTCATAAAAAAAAAAAATAAAAATATTGATAGAAAAGGAAAAAAAAAAGAATTTCATAAAAAAGAAAAAGAAAAAATATTGATAGAAAAGAAAAAAAAAATTTCAAAAAAAAGAAAAAGAAAAATATTGATAGAAAAGGAAAAAAAATTTCATAAAAAAGAAAAAGAAAAAAAATATTGATAGAAAAGGAAAAAGAATTTCATAAAAAAAAAAAAAAAGAAAAATATTGATAGAAAAGGAAAAAGAATTTCATAAAAAAAAAAAAAAAAATATTGATAGAAAAGGAAAAAGAATTTCATAAAAAAAAAAGAAAAAATATTGATAGAAAAGGAAAAAGAATTTCATAAAAAAAAAAAAAAAATATTGATAGAAAAGGAAAAAGAATTTCATAAAAAAGAAAAGAAAAATATTGATAGAAAAGGAAAAAAAGAATTTCATAAAAAAAGAAAAAAAAAATATTGATAGAAAAGGAAAAAAGAATTTCATAAAAAAAAAAGAAAATAAAAATATTGATAGAAAAGGAAAAAAGAATTTCATAAAAAAGAAAAAGAAAAATATTGATAGAAAAGGAAAAAAGAATTTCATAAAAAAGAAAAAGAAAAATATTGATAGAAAAGGAAAAAAGAATTTCATAAAAAAAAAAAAATATTGATAGAGAAAAAAAGAATTTAATAAAAAGAAAAAGAAAAATGATAGAAAAGGAAAAAGAATTTCATAAAAAAGAAAAGAAAAATATTGATAGAAAAGGAAAAAAGAATTTCATAAAAAAAAAAAAGAAAATATTGATAGAAAAGGAAAAAAGAATTTCATAAAAAGAAAAAGAAAAATATTGATAGAAAAAAAAAGAATTTCAAAAAAGAAAAAAAAAATATTGATAGAAAAGGAAAAAAATTTCATAAAAAAAAAAAAAAAAATAAATGATAGAAAAGGAAAAAAGAATTTCATAAAAAAGAAAAATAAAAAATATTGATAAAAAAATTTCAAAAAAAAAAAAGAAAAATATTGATAGAAAAGGAAAAAAGAATTTCATAAAAAAAAAAGAAAAAATATTGATAGAAAAGGAAAAAGAATTTCATAAAAAAGAAAAGAAAATATTGATAGAAAAGGAAAAAAGAATTTCATAAAAAAAAAAAAGAAAAATATTGATAGAAAAGGAAAAAGAATTTCAAAAAAAGAAAAAGAAAAATATTGATAGAAAAGGAAAAGAAAAAAAAAGAAAAAGAAAAATATTGATAGAAAAGGAAAAAGAATTTCATAAAAAAAAAGAAAAAATAAATGAAGAAAAAAAAAAAAATATTTAGATAAAAAAAAAAAAAAGAAAAATATTGATAGAAAAGGAAAAAAGAATTTCATAAAAAAGAAAAAGAAAAATATTGATAGAAAAGGAAAAAAGAATTTCATAAAAAAAAAAAAGAAAAATATTGATAGAAAAGGAAAAAAGAATTTCATAAAAAAGAAAAAGAAAAATATTGATAGAAAAGGAAAAAAGAATTTCATAAAAAGAAAAAGAAAAAATATTGATAGAAAAGGAAAAAAGAATTTCATAAAAAAAAAAAAAAAAAAAAGAAAAATAAAAATATTGATAGAAAAGGAAAAAAGAATTTCATAAAAAAGAAAAAGAAAAATATTGATAGAAAAGGAAAAAAGAATTTCATAAAAAAGAAAAAGAAAAATATTGATAGAAAAGGAAAAAAGAATTTCATAAAAAAGAAAAGAAAATATTGATAGAAAAGGAAAAAGAATTTCATAAAAAAAAGAAAAGAAAAATATTGATAGAAAAGGAAAAAAGAATTTCATAAAAAAGAAAAGAAAAATATTGATAGAAAAGGAAAAAGAATTTCATAAAAAAAAAAGAAAAAAAATTGATAGAAAAGGAAAAAGAATTTCATAAAAAAGAAAAGAAAAATATTGATAGAAAAGGAAAAAGAATTTCAAAAAAAAAGAAAAAAAGAAAAATATTGATAGAAAAGGAAAAAAAAAGAATTTCATAAAAAAAAAGAAAAATATTGAAAAAAGGAAAAAATTGATATTGATAAAAAAGGAAAAAAGAATTTCATAAAAAAGAAAAAGAAAAATATTGATAGAAAAGGAAAAAAGAATTTCATAAAAAAAAAAAAGAAAAATATTGATAGAAAAGGAAAAAAGAATTTCATAAAAAAAGAAAGATAAAAATATTGATAGAAAAGGAAAAAAGAATTTCATAAAAAAGAAAAAGAAAAATATTGATAGAAAAGGAAAAAAGAATTTCATAAAAAAGAAAAAGAAAAATATTGATAGAAAAGGAAAAAAGAATTTCATAAAAAAAGAAAAAGAAAAATATTGATAGAAAAGGAAAAAAGAATTTCATAAAAAAAAAGAAAAAAAAAAAAAAAAATGATAGAAAAGGAAAAAAGAATTTCATAAAAAAAAAAAAAATAAATGAAAAAATATTGATAGAAAAGGAAAAAGAATTTCATAAAAAGAAAGATAAAAATATTGATAGAAAAGGAAAAAGAATTTCATAAAAAAGAAAAGAAAAATATTGATAGAAAAGGAAAAAAGAATTTCATAAAAAAGAAAAAGAAAAAAATGATATTAAAAAAAAAAAGAAAAAGGAAAAAGGAAAAAAGAATTTCATAAAAAAGAAAAAGAAAAATATTGATAGAAAAGGAAAAAAAGAATTTCATAAAAAAAAAAAAAGAAAAATATTGATAGAAAAGGAAAAAAGAATTTCATAAAAAAAAAAAAAAAATATTGATAGAAAAGGAAAAAGAATTTCATAAAAAGAAAAATAAAAATATTGATAGAAAAAGAAAAAAAGAATTTCATAAAAAAGAAAAATAAAAAATATTGATAGAAAAGGAAAAAAGAATTTCATAAAAAAGAAAAGAAAAAATTTGATAAAAAGGAAAAAAGAATTTCAAAAAAAAAAAAAAAAATTGATAGAAAAGGAAAAAAGAATTTCAAAAAAAGAAAAGAAAAATATTGATAGAAAAGGAAAAAAGAATTTCAAAAAAAAAAAGAAAAATATTGAAAAAAGGAAAAATAAATGAAAAATAGAAAAAAGGAAAAAAGAATTTCATAAAAAAAAAAAGAAAAATATTGATAGAAAAGGAAAAAGAATTTCATAAAAAAAAAAAAGAAAAAAATATTGATAGAAAAGGAAAAAAGAATTTCATAAAAAGAAAAAAAAAAATAAATGATAGAAAAGGAAAAAAGAATTTCATAAAAAAAAAAAAAAAAAAATTGATAGAAAAAAAAAAATTTCATAAAAAAAGAAAAAGAAAAATATTGATAGAAAAGGAAAAAAGAATTTCATAAAAAAGAAAAAGAAAAATATTGATAGAAAAGGAAAAAAGAATTTCATAAAAAAGAAAAAGAAAAATAAATGATAGAAAAGGAAAAAAGAATTTCATAAAAAAGAAAAAGAAAAATATTGATTGAAAAGGAAAAAAGAATTTCATAAAAAAGAAAAAGAAAAATAATGATAGAAAAGGAAAAAAGAATTTCATAAAAAAGAAAAAGAAAATATAAATGAAAAGGAAAAAGAAAAAAAAAGAAAAAAAAAAATTTGATAGAAAAGGAAAAAAAAAAAAAAAAAGAAAAATATTGATAGAAAAGGAAAAAAAATTTCATAAAAAAGAAAAATAAAAATGATAGAAAAGGAAAAAGAATTTCATAAAAAGAAAAAAGAAAAATATTGATAGAAAAGGAAAAAGAATTTCATAAAAAAGAAAAGAAAAATAAATAGAAAAGGAAAAAGAAAAAAAAAAGAAAAAGAAAATATTGATAGAAAAAAAAAAATTTCATAAAAAAGAAAAAGAAAAATATTGATTGAAAAGGAAAAAGAATTTCATAAAAAAGAAAAAAAAAAAAATGAAAAAAGGAAAAAGAAATAAAAAGAAAAAAGAAAAATATTGATAAAAAAAAAAAATTTCAAAAAAGAAAAGAAAAATATTGATTGAAAAGGAAAAAGAATTTCATAAAAAAAAAAAAAGAAAAATATTGATAGAAAAGGAAAAAAGAATTTCATAAAAAAGAAAAAGAAAAATAAATGATAGAAAAGGAAAAAAGAATTTCATAAAAAAGAAAAAGAAAAATAAATGATAGAAAATGAAAAAAGAATTTCATAAAAAAGAAAAAGAAAAATATTGATTGAAAAGGAAAAAAGAATTTCATAAAAAAGAAAAAGAAATGATAGAAAAGGAAAAAACAAAAAAGAAAGATAAAAATTAATAGAAAAGGAAAAAAGAATATTAGAAAAATAAAGATGAAGAAAAAAAAACGGAAATTTTAAAAGGCATAATCAAGAAAGAAAGGACGATATATTTTGCTTAAACACCTCCCGAGAAGTAATGGGAGAGAAATAATCACTCAGTTTTTCTCAATGAAAAGAAGACACGGCTGTCTGATGGAATCAGAGAATCAATGAAAAATAAATCAAATGACAAAGCGCGATGGATCTAAGAAAGAAAAATGAACAAAATAGTCACCATTGTTCGAACATTTGGTCCTATACTTGCTGTTATTAATACATTTTGGCCAATGCCGTCTTCCTCTTTCGTCATGTTTATTCCATTAAATAAAGAGGAACAAAAGCCCTTCAAAAAAAAATGACGAGCTATAATCACCATATGATAATTCTGCTTGTCTCTTAGCATGTACGTTACGCCCAGCCATTACCTCATAAATTATTCCATTTGGTTCTCGAGGATAGACGGAACAGACAGACGGAAGAGACTGGAAAAGATAGAATGAAAAGATATTGGAGGCGTTAAAGCTTTCATATGTTTAACGATTGCTTCAGTGAAGTGGAAAATATAAATCTTTTTTCATTTACACCCTCTTACTTCTTTACTTAATGACCTGCATTCATAATATTTAATATTTTATTATTATTTTTATTTCTTTTTATAGTGAGTTTCACATTGTACAAGGCCTGACGATAGCGTTTAACATGAAACAGACTGTTGCCTCTGGATGTTGACTTCAATAGCCACTTTTACACACACACACACACACACACATATATATATATATATATATATATATATATTGAGGCTTGTTTCATTAAATAATATAGACAAGTGATTATTGTCTATTTATTTCATGTAAATTCTTTTCATATCGTCTGATAAGCTTAATAACATTAGCGTTGAAAGGTGAAAGAAAATCACAATAATGATACATATTTTTTAATCCTATCTAAACATTCGGCTTACATAAGCCATTATCAAAGATGACAATTACGTTACAATATATTTATTAAATATTTGTTGCGTGAAAGATTTCCAAGCAACGAAAAACTCGTGAAACGAGACGCTTGACACTACATTTGAATGATAACTCTAACAAATTTAGGCATTTAAAACAACATGCCTGGCCACATACACAATTCCGGAAAATCCTTGTTGAAAACACAACTATACTTAAACATGAAAACAATAAACAAAGACTAAAAATTATTGAAGCTATATACATAAAAGAGTTGAAACTTAACCTGAACAAAATAAACTACAAAATCTCCACAAATGTTCTTAAATGACTATAGTTGATAACAAAAGCCATTGGTTTATATCAACGGCTTCCCGTACTTAATACTTCTCGTTTTCACTCTCGCGTGGTCATGTGTGATGTCACGAGCTGCGATGAGATCTTCGCTTCCGCGTCTCGTATACACAAATTTGTTGTTGCTTTAAAATTTTTCATGCAACAAAAACAGACTATCATTATTGTTTTGTCCGTGTATTGTTTAATATATTGAAAAGTAATTGTCATCTTTGATAATGGCTTATGTAAGCCGAAAGCTTAGATAGGATTAAAACATGTATCAATATGGTGATTTCCTTTCGTCTTTCAATGATAATGCTATTAAGCTTATCAGCCAATATGAAAAGAACTTACTTAAAATAAATAGACAAAACTTGTCTATATTATTTAATGAAACATGCATCAATGAATGAAAAATGCTGCCGAAATACACATATATATATATATATATATATATATATATATATATATATATAGATAGATAGATAGATAGATAGATAGATAGATAGATAGATAGATATTGAAATATATATATATATCGGAATTTTTAAATTTGTGATTGAATATATTGCTATACATTTCGAGGGGTTTGTCACTGATCGAATGGATACAATTTTGAGGGCAATGAGCCCCACTAAAAAAAATAGTTTGAAATTATTCAGTCTTACGGTTTAATATGCCCAGGAAAGTCATTTGTCGAAAGAGAGAGCAGTTACTGTAAAACCATTTATTATGTTCGACAATTTTAATTTCATTATATCATAATCGATGCTCTCCAGCAAACATAAACTCTAATTTTACATGCAAGGACATTTTGAAAAAGTGTTTACGATAGAATAAACAGTGACAGTTTAATAAAACAAAGTGTATAAATATCAAATTGTGAAGAGAGACAAAAGAAAACGTCAAGTAACCGACCCTATAGAGTTTGTGTAAATGAGTAGAATAGGGAGGTGCAGGGATAGTAAGAGGACAAACCTTGCTTTGATTAACAAAGGATACGAAGTTGTGGAGATCCATGATCACCCACGACCTAAATAAACACGGCATATAAAAGAAGAAAAGTTCCAAAGACACATTCTCTTTACAAAGAATGTAAAACTACATCCATACACTCGGGTTTGTAGTCAGTTTTTCCAAACTTATCAATTCATTTTGAAATTCAAACACCTGGGCTCTTATCCCCTCCCTTCCTGCAAGCGTTATTGATTTTCATTGAAAATCTAAGAAGATGATTATTTAGAATTGCGAAACTGATTTGATAAACATTCTAAAACTTCATTCAAATTATCACCCATTCAATTCTAAAAATGAATTCAACTCATAAATCCAACTAATATTTTTGTCCGTGTAACGTTCCGTCTTTACTTGTTATTTTAAAAATAATTTAAAAGATATGGTTGTAAAAAGAATATTTAGGGGACTTGAGTGTTAAAATTCGTCTTTCTTCATCCCCCCTTTTTTTGCAGTCAGTTCATAGTTATATACACAAATGGGAGGATATTGTCCGAAAAATGTTTGGTCCATCGATCCCTTCATGGAATCAATAATAAGTTTTTGGTGCCTTGCTTTAAAGTGATCACAAATCAAGAAAAGTGTGGGAAGTACTGGTGAATATTCTGATGCATTTGTCATGTGCCATAAGCCAATGTAAATACGCAATAATTCATCCTGCGTAGCGACATACAACGGCACCTCGTGTTATTGAATCGGCGCCGGAAAGTAATATTCGGTTTCTAATACTCGTACCTACCCGCTTATTAGTTTTG